TATGCACATGCCGTTGGAGAAATAATGTGAATTAATAATCCATTTTTCTGTCCTTTCAATATGACCACCAAGGTACATGATAATGGAGAGCATTTCGTTGTAGGTTGCGGTATAAAAAATAAACGGTTCAATCCATAGATGAGAGATAGTCCTAAGCATAGTGAGCAATGACCACCGTATTTCTGGGTCAACTACCAGAATGAAAGTTTTCGGTGTCACCGGTGTAAATAACCTCATATTTCATATCCAGGTTTATGCAGCGTGAACGCAACGACTCCTTTCTTCTAGCCCCCCCCCCTATGGTGACATTTCAGCAGACTTTGCACCTGCAGTGAACGAATGCAAAACCCATGAACACACTGTGGCCTGAGCAGAGATGCTTTAGAACGCCAACTGATGACCCTGGTCTACTTAAACCACCCTTTGGGCAGTTAGAAGCAAATGACGGTGTTCCTTTTCCCTGTAAATAAGGCTAAGCGACTGTTCCAGTCATACTATTTCATTTCATCGGCACAACTGTGGGAATCTGAAACATCTGGTTTGCACGTAATGTAACACAGACAGTGCTTAATATTTACGGAGCCAAATTAAAGTTTGATTTTCAGGTGCCCTGAACGAAATTGCTGATGTTCAGAGAATAGCCAGCTGTCAAGCCATCAGGCTATGTTAGGGGATAAATTCAGAAGTTAGAACAAATCATTATATTGAATTTATAATTGAAGAAATTTTCTGCCAGACTTACATAGTTCCAAGAGCTGAGAACACTTATCGACATTCGCCACGTGTATTATGCTTGCCGACCTTTTCAAAACTGTCCAATATCATAACCGCTACCTAGGACTTGATTTATTTCGCGACAGCTTAATGATGTTGAGTATGTTCCGCATTGGTCAAAGGCGCTGCGTACTTGATGACTATGCACGAGATTTTCAAAATAGCAGATATGAGGTCATGATCTGCCAAGGTCCATGCGCTTGTCCACTGGCTTTGTGCCACGACATATAAGGTCCGCTGCGAACTCCGATGGAAAGGGGGGGGGGGCAGGGAGAAATCCGGCGGAGAGAAATCCTTATGTTAAGCATGAATAGCAAGGTATTTATTACACGCTGTTTAAAACCGGGGTTACTCAGTTGGTAGAGCGTCAGAGTCAGAATCGATAGACTCTTGGTTCGATCCATCTTTCCCAGTTTGACAAATGCATATCACACTGTGGCAAGTAAGCAGGAGACTACATACTATGCCTGCCACGTAGCTCCTGTTGATTCTGGCTTAAAAAACTGAGGCACTCCTGACTGACTGTATAAAACTGGAGACCAGGCTCTTCCGTTGACTACATGAAAAGAAGGGCTCAAAAATGGTCCCATCATGAAAATGCAAGGAAAACATACATTCCAACGATTACAAGCTTTCCTTCCATTCTATTTGCTAGCCACAGTTCGTGTCATGTATTCTTAACCGCTACCATGCAGCACAAATTGAGATGACCCCTAACAACGTTAAACTCGCTCTCTGATGATACCGTATACCAGGTTAACCGCTTTTGCATTTTATACATAATGTAGCTGCAGATAGGAAGCTGATCATGTGAAACGCATTATGATCATAATTCACCGTCTTTAAGTAAGACACAAAATGGGATTTACGATGGGCTAAACATAATCATGGACGATGTCGTTCTGGGGATATTTGTGCATTCTAAAACCTCTAATGCTACGCTGCTGCCATCTGATATCCTTAGAAAGGTCATGTTTACCAAACACTGAAATTGAACTGAAATTCAAAAAAAAACTGCTGTCTAAAGAAATGACGGTTTTTAGCCAATGAGGAAAGATTTTAGATTCTTAAAGGCTTGAGGGAAGAAAATGAGCGCAAAATCTGCGAATCGGAATCTGTACCTTACCACTGGCTTTGGATTTAAGCTTCTCATTACCCCTTGGTCCTTGTCAGTAGCCAGGCTTCAACACATCATAGTGAACTGCTATAACATGTCATCTACCAGGTTGCGGGCAGCAGAGAGCTTGAACCCGAGCTTACTTAAGGATTCGGCGCAGATCGTCACTTCCGGCTACATGTAACAGAATGAAAGAGAAAGGCAAAAGAATTCATACTACTACCGGAGTGTTTTGCTGCCATGAAAGATATAAAATAAATTAATTTGCGCTAGGAACAAAAATCTCAGTTGGGACTTTAAATCCGGTTCTTAAATTTGCTCGCAGTCTGTGTATCAAGAAGTACATTAAATTAATAACATTTCTTAGAATGATGATAACGCTGGTTCACGGCGTTAAACTCGTCGGTAAGTAAGTAGTTTTATTCTCCGTTCTAGCTGATCCCTGAACCACGGATCAGGAAGAAAAACTATTAAGGGTTATTCAAAAAGACAGCGATTTCAGTATCGCGTTCCATGCAAATCTGCCAAGCTTTCAATCAGGTCATTACTTCAGATTTTCTGCTGTAAGCAACATATTCTACGTAATCCGAAGCCATATACAAATTTCTGGTACTTGTAGAGTGCACAAACTGTGTATGTCCAGACAAATACTCTGTAATGGTCAGTAGAACACAGTAGTTAATGCCAGCATCAGAAAAGGTAGAGATAACTTATGCCTTCGGGTGGCATCAAACGTCGATAAAAGGTCAAGGAACATAATTTTAATTATTGCTTTTCTCATGTGCAATTAATTCCACAGACACAAAATATGCAAACAGGTTGATTGTGCCTCGTTCGGTTCTGCAATAAAACAATAGGGAATCACGTAGATGCTCGAACGGAACAGAAATAAACAATAGATGCAAAGCTCGAACGCTTTATAAAAGCATCAGAAGTGACCGTATTCGGTCTAAAATCTTCTACTGTAGCTCGGTCGTTCTTCTTCGACCCTTGGCGAACAGGAAGAGAATGGAAACGCACCGTTGTTAGAGCATTAAACAAAGATGTCCGTGAAAACGTTGCCTACTCAAAAGAACAGCATTTCAAAGTGAACGGTGAAACACCATGGTTCATCGTCCTTCTTCCCCAGGAATATGTAATTTCAAACAATTCACAAGTTGCCA